TGTTCTAGAACTCACAGGAGCCACTATAAATAGCGCACCTTTCTTATTAGTTAAACCCCCTTGTGTCCGCAAGTTTCCAATAAAGTGCTCGTCGTCCGAACCGGCTCTCTTCCTTTCCTACCTTCCTTCCGGGTCATAACAATTTTATAGAAACCATAAATAAAAATATGCTTTCTTTCAGTCAATCAATAGAGAATTATGTCTTCTTTATATTTTTTACTCAAGGAAGGAGTATAATTAGGTTTTAAAAAAAGTTTTCTAATTATGAGACTTTTTAAGACCGCGCAATGTCCATTCACACAGGATCGTACCTTGCCGTTTACCACTGCTCCTCGTGAAATGTACAACATAGACCGCACCTATTGCAACATTTTATGGACTCTGTATGATATCTCTTTAATGGCATAGAAAAATATTTGATTTTCTTTATGGGGAACGCATGCATCTTCTAGACTGAAATCACTAAGTGCTAATGCAACGAATGATCAGGCTCCAAATTATTCGGCAATTAGAAAACTTGTTTAAAACCTAATTATACTCCTCCCTTGAGTATAAAATATAAAGAAGACGTAATTCTCTATTGATTGACTAAAAGGAAACATATTTTTATTTAAATGAGCAGTATTACAACCGCGACCGAGTAATCCTTCCTAATAGAAAACGCATTTCAGAATTTCAGCCAACATTTCATGAGATCGGTCACTCACTGTAAGGACAGAGTCAACGGGACCGGAGGCGGGAGAGGGCACAAATAGTTGGCGTGTCCGGAGCCGCCCCTAGGTGTGCTGTCGCACCCGTTTCGGATCCCATTAGGTGGGAGTGCCATGGAGGCCACATTAAGAAGGATCAATGACAGCCTGACTTACAGTCTACCAGTCCACCACTCCACACAAACACACACTGGGCTGACTGCGCGTCCTAGTTATCCCATCAGTCGGCAACCTTCCAAGCCATAGCTTGTAGGACATCGTGATGGCTTCAAGAGCTTCAGATTGCTTATAGTGAGGAAAGTTGGTTGAGGTATAGGGCTCGCCTGCGCATGCCACATGCATGACCTGACCCCCCACACACACAGGCGAAAAGAACATTTCCCACTTACGTGAGAAGTGTTGGTGATTTAGAATTTGGGAGGGGTGTATGTGTGGTGCATGTATTGATGGAGGAATGTGTGGTGGTGTGGTCGCGTCTGCAGTGATTTACCGCAGGCAATTTTCTCAGACAAGTACTACATGCGACCCATATAAAGCAGTATACACACCTCCGGAACGCGCGCGTCCAGTCAGTGCCGGTAATGGGATAAAAATCGCATGACGAGGGAGAGCGCAGACACCAGCTGCTTCTGTACAGTAACACAACCGTGTTTGCAAGTTTCATTGTTTGGAAACGGATCGAAACATCAGATATGAAGCAAACCCTCTACATCAAGCTTCTCCGATTTCCCGGAGAGTTAAAATGTCCCGTCCAATTCCTGTGTTCAAAACGGCCCTTCAGAGTAATTAGGTCTGCGAAAAACGCTACTCATTCGAGAGACACTGATGTACCAGCAGACCATCGGTTTGGACTATCCAATTGAAGTCGGCTTCCTTCTCAATTTGAGGAGGAAATCTGCTGCAAAACATTCCGAGTGCTGCTTTTTATTCAACAAAAATATCCAGTCTCCCTCCCACACTCCATGTCCATCAAGCCAATCAGACTCGCTGACGAACAGACTAATGGGTGTAATTCTCTTCCTAAACTGATTGAAAATCGGAAATAAGCGGTTGGCAGAGGTGCTAAGAAAACGGCAGTTTCAAACTATCTGACCGCTCTCCACTACTTTGGTGGAGAAAATAAATGTAGTTGTCTTTTTTGAGTCCTGCAGTATACTCTGATTGTTATGGCACACAAAGTACGCAAACCCGTTGGAATGGCTAATAGCATCCATTTTTCCGTAATCAGTTGGACATAGAGCTTCAAAATTAGGTAATTTTGCCAGTCAGAGCAAACGTTTGCATTTATTCCAGAGACTCGCTGGAATGACTCGGTACCCATCTTTTCGACTGTGTCCCCTTCACCGGTGACGCATACAAGTTCTCCTGGAGACTCGGTTTTCCGTAATGTGTTCCAAATATCTATAGAACTTCCTTCTTCCTCGAACAATATAAACCAAAAAACTGTACAATTTCCAAGGACTTCTGTCCGTATAAAGGGGGCCCAATGAGTCGTACAGACGACTAACTAGTCTGGATATATCAGTCATATATCCTAGGGTAAATGCTTTTCATTAAATTCACGAAAAACCATTTATAAGAACTTCGTCCTGTCTTTGATTTCGAATTTCCCAGTAATAGGAAGTAAAATTTTGCGAAATTTGACTAATAATGAAAGTACCACGAAACCCCTTACACAACGGACTACGTTGGAGCGATGTTACTTAAACTGGGATCGCCGCTTTTCCCTTTCTCTCACGAACCATTTTGGATTCGCCCGAAAAAATAACAGTAGGCAAAAGAGGCAGACGAAGTTTGATTGAATGGGAGGTATTAGCTTTGACTGACATCCGATTTACTAGCGTATTTGAATTTGCTACCGACAGTTTCGCAGGATTTCGATTGATCGGTCTGCCTTGCAACCGAAGTCGATGTCTTGTGGGGAAGTTCGAGCCTTTCCATTTTCTGACCCTCGTCTCTAACGTACTAGGAAGCCTGCTACTTTCACCTCCTAGCCCTCCGTCCCACCTTAGTTAGGATCAACATGGCAACATAAGCAGTCACATTTGTGTACATAGTGCTTCTGACGCCCCCTGCCGAGACGTAATTACACCCTTGCCGACCATCGACCTCCGTCATCCGGTTTCCTGTGTACACCCTACCTTGTCCCAGAACGTTTGC